GCTGTATGTGAATGGAAAAACGACGTGGAATTACACAAGGGTAATGGACTTGTAAATTTATCGCAACATACTTTTATTTAAAGGGATTCTTTAGATTTGTTGCAGAGGGAGCTATACAATTTTTTGTGAGATAATGAATAACTGAATGTCAAATTTGAAAGAACATGTCATTTAAATGATAATATCAATTTTTTTGAGCAAAATCGGTTCCGAGACAACTTAAGTATTCATAAATAGCAATTTCTAATAGCCATTTCTAATATTTGTGGGGCGTCCCAAATATTCGATAATTTTGAATACAGAGCCTTCTATTCATTGTTCAGAACTTAATATGCAAAAGCCATGAGGGAAGTCAAGTCGCTGTTGATAAACATGTATATGGTTTTAAAGGGAACCGGTTACATTGCTGAAGGTTGATGGAAAAACTGCGTAATTTTTGTATAAAATGTTACTTATTATATTCCTTCTATACTGCACGTGCTTACCTTCTAACATGCACAGAATCTGAACAAATTCTTGAACCACAAATATATACCTGTACATGGTTTTCTTGTAAGGCATCACTGTGCAACACCCTCTAACAATAAATTCTCCCAACACTTTTTGAATTTTTGCATGGCTGATTGTCTACGAAACGGAGTTAAGTCTGTTGTCAATTCTGCTAGTTGCTACGGCAGGCAGCCAGTGAAAACGAATTCGTTTGATGAAGTTATGGAAATGCAAGCACTACTTTAAACAAACAGAACTTGGTCATTTCTTGCTCATTTTACCTGATTGAGGTGCCATATGAAAGGGCAGAAACTCAACTTTCTAGAAATGTGATTTTCTCTTTGATATTCAGATACCGCCCGCCAAATGATTTTTTTTGGTTCCTCTCTTCGAATTGATTTCAATTACTCATGCGTGAAAAATGCACTATATGAGATGTATCAAATGAAAGAGAAGGATCTAAGCTTTCCAAATATGTGTCATTTATCAATTATAATTGCGGTTAAGTTATGATAAAACATCGATAGTTCTCGGATTCGTTTTTTCCGGGACGCACTGTATAGTGTGTCATTCAATAAAATCACTAACACATACATGTATGTCAGCAAAACATTGAAAAATCTTTTTTTTTAAATAAAACTATAAAAAAGTACCCCCAGTCATGTAAGTAATAAGAAATAAGTGAAACCTAATTTATGTCCTCTCGAGAATGAGACATTTTAGATGTATTTTAAAATTGTGTATGTTTTAGGTTATAATACTACTGTAGGGTTGCGGTTCTAACAGATAATTCCTAGCACTCTTAACACAGAGGAAGCCCAGCAGACATGTTGTAGGATTGATAACTACTGGCTAACTGACCAGGTTTTAATGTGTAAAAGCATTACAGCATTCTATGTAGCATTCCACATACATTCCATGCAAAGTAGAAGAAACAATAAATATTCATATAGTCCCATACAAGTATAAATCAGCATCACAAAGAATTCTTGAATATTTAAACGTAGGGTAAACAAAGGTAAACAAAGGGTATATATTGAATATTCATAGTATATGTAAATTATATTTTAAGCTTGACTGCATCAGGGGAACATGGAAACCAGTGAGAGAGAGAGAGATAGATAGAAGAAAGGATGGTGGATGAAAAGGGTGAATGTGAATGAGGGATGACCTATTAATATGAAAGGGATGAATCATGGATATGAAGGGGAGTTTCAGAAGTTCAAAATAAATCCCTACACTACTGTAGTAACAATCATTCTTTACCACTATTTGTATTAGGAGGCTGTTTCAAAAGACATTTTTTAATGGTCTTAAAGTTGAATGGAGATAAAGTTGATTCACTTTTCGAAAAAAATTATTTTGTCCAAAAATATATAAATCGAGGGGAGTATTCATTTTTCAGAAAAAAATAATCTTATAATTTTATAAGTCAATTTTGCAGAAAATTCAGATATTTTACGGAAAATTTGATTTTTTGCATTATATTTCTTCATATTCTTATATTTAGATCTAAATGAAATTATCAAAATAGTGTTTTTAACAGTAGTGTGCATTGTGAAATCGTAACTTGCACATAATGATCGAAAATTAGTTGAAATTTTGAAAAGTTGAAACCCTTCTTGAGCTTACACAAATTTAATGGATTCGAAAGACCTGATTTGTGTTTAAACTTGTGTTTAGACTTATAATAACTTATTTCATCATTATTTATTCACTCCAGATACCCTCACATATGGATTATCATCATTTATTTAGTATTTTTTTGTTTCGGACGTTACATTTGTTTCGGACGTTACAACTGTTAACGGAAAATTGGTTTTAACTATAAAATAGTATTGTAATGATGTATTGCAAATTTCTTTTTTTGGTGGGTAGCCGCCATGAAATGTTAAAAAAATGTTACGAAAGATAGGTCCTGCAGTTCATATATTTTCTGCTACTTCAAATTGAAAGTTGTTTCGGACGTTACAAAATTGTTTACGGAAAATGAGACAACTTTTTCAAATTTTGAGTATATTTCTAATATAAGCGCTACTACAATTAAATTATATTTTCTTTTAATTTAATGACTTGGAGTAACTTATAAGCTTATTCAAACCATAAATAATCTCATTAATTGATTGTTCTAGTGGGTTAAATGAGGGTCTACATTGTTTACGGAAAATGTAACGTCCGAAACACCATTTTCAATTGCACTGTTCCATCAAAATAGAGGAGTTAATTCAGATTACTGTTAACTTTCTTTGAGATCCACCCATGCTCATTAATCATCAATAGAAAAAAACATGTTGTTTATAGCTATATATTTTGTTCGGCTCCAACCAAAAAGGTATGTCAATTTTGTTACAAAATTCCGTAAACAATTGGCTGTTTAGGGATACCTCATGCACATAAAGCAATGTTGACAATTTTTCATTAAGCTATGGGAGGTCAATCTAGGTCCATGCTACAAGAAAAATTTGTAATTGATTTCTAATTCTTTATCTTTGAAAAGTGTCAGGCTCTCAAAGGGCCATTTAGCTATTTGGTCATAGTTAAAAAAAACCAGTGCCATAAAAAAGAAAAGAAAAGTATTTTAACTAAACATTAATCCCCCTAAATATTACAGTATACATCAGATTGTGATGTTTAAAAGTGCATCGAACACAATCGCAAAGACTTTACTAAGTAAACGGTTGTTGCTGTTAGGCTATATCTACAACACTATACAGCCTGCGGATGTTTGCTTTTTAGTCAAAATTCATAGATATCGACTAATTTTCAAGTCAGACACTTCGCAGGCCTGATTAATATGGAAGGGGTCAACGATTGCTTTCATTCTATCGAAAGTGTTGTGATACTTGTGGAATCGTTGACTTCAGAACAAAACCGTTTTGAGGTCGCTCTTGTCCTCACGGACAGCAGTTACTCGTTATGTTTGACCTACCGCTCACCGTACTCAAATGTCCGCTGCGCCATTTCACACTCGTTATGAGCATTAGGTGTTTATCTCGAATAGCAAATTAAAACTCAAAGGTTACTAAACCCAACTTTAAAGAAGGAACACATGAAATGTACGAAAGAAATTTTGAGAATAGATTTTCATAAAAAGGATAATATCCCAAATAAACTTTTTGTATCACTCATTGAGAAGGGCTACCTTAACTAGGAATACAAATAAAGTTATGATTGTAATCATCATTACAAAAAGAGTAACATAAATATTGCTTGAAATAAGCATTTCCTTGAGTTCGAGTTGATATTAACACCTTTTCTTTTCAACTACCCAATAGTCAATGTAAATAAGTGAGCAATATTATTACTTGTTGGATGAGATAATATACACACATAATGGCTTTTGACTTAGCCCAAACTTACAAGAGGACTTTGACAATCCTCTTTTGGAAAGCCTGTTGCTCAGTCATCCTTGGCACCACAATTATGAATATGGCATCATTAAACAGTTTATTAGTTACCCTTTACTATGAAAAAATAATGATTAAACGTAGCATAGGGGACAGGTGTTTTAATTAGAAGCTACCAGAGTTGGGTACTCTTTTTTTATTCGCACTATAAAGAAATCACGATTTTCAATAATGGAGAAATTATTCTACATTTCCTCGGTTTTTCCGAAAAGTTTACTTTTTCTTCAGACTACACTAGGCAATTATATGATTAAGAATTTTGTAAAGTATACATTTCCCTTTCTAGCGGAAATAAGATGTTTTGATTTCAGGAAATGTGCTACAACTGTACCTGGATCAAAATATTCTTGTTGTAATTGCTATGTCCCATTTGCAGGCCAAAAAAATGAAAAACTTAAATTCCAACTGCATTTGAAAGATAATACTAATTTAGAACTTCCCTTAAAAAGGTGGTGCTTGAAAATATCTTCAAGTAGGAAAATATCGACTATTAGTTGTCAAATCGACTTTTAGGGCTTTAGAGCCCAAAAGTAATAGTCTTGATTTTCAGACAATTGTACCGAATGGTCATACGTTTTTTGCTGCGCAAAGATTCAATCAGTCTAATCTTGGCCATCACAAGAAGTGGGTTATTGATGTAGACAAATGCTCATGTACCCTTTACAACTCTTTTCATGTATGTTAGTACCAAAGAAGACAAAAAGCCAGTCAGTCACTCAATAGTGTCTGACAGTGAAGTCTAGGAAATAAACGGGTTTCCTTGCATAATTTGAATATGAGGACACTGCTAACGTTTAAATTTCACAGACAGGACATACATGACATATTCATAATTCCTGCAAAGTTCTACATAATTTGAAGTTGGCTGCAAAAGGGACCTCGTACCTTTAACAGGGCATAACAGTTAATGTGATTTCGTGAAGCTCTTCCCACATTGGTGTAGATTGATTCCTCCATGTTTTCCTTTTTTTTTTCCTTCCTTGTGTAATCTTTTCTTATGTTATTCTATTTCACTTCCTTCTATAATCTTTTCTTATTATGTTTTCCTTTTTTTACTTCCTTCTAAAACCTTTCCTTGTGTTTACCGAAGCCAAAGATTTGTTGGCCTGCAAAAGGGACATAGTACCTTTAACTAGGCAGAGGTGTATATTGATTCTTCTCCAAACCAAGTCAGCCGTTATTGCCAGATGCTCTGAGTCCGCAGAAGACCATGTTGGGAATATTTTATTGATCTTTCTTAAAGTTGAGGTAAATATAAAAGTGAAGTGAACTTCTTACGACAGTTTCTTGCTTTGCTGTATTTGAATGAAAAAATGACTTGGAATAACATAAGGGTTATGGACTTTTAAATGTATCGCAAAATATCTCTACTTAAAATTATGATATTACCGCACACTGCTTGAGTAGATTTATACAGTAATTCTACATTAGCTTAATATCTTTTAAGAATCTTTTAAGAATTGAGAGATCAAGATCCTCTTTTCGTAAAAAAACTTACCAAATTACTCTTGGGTGAAAACCACGAATTATAATCTTCTAATTATATAGATGTATATAGCAACCAGTCTCGTTTTTTTATTGTAATATTATACACAAATCTTATTTATAGGATTTGGAAACACATTGTGAATTTTTCAATAAACTTTAGTTTAGGCTTTAGATAACGAGAGTCAACCTCGACTAGCACATGTGCTATTTTTTACTCCATTTTACCATCGATCAGAAACTCATTGAATATATTCATTTATTGTTTTACTCTTGACACTAACATTACTTATAACTTCTACATGTATATCGCTGTAAAACATGTATTTTTATAATTCATGTCATGTATTTATGTTATATTGACATTGTCATTGTACATTTATTCAATGGTGGTGAATAAATTCAAAAATTCAAATTCAAAATTTAATTGTGATTTTTTTGCTAGCCAATAAGCTCATCTTTTTTTTCCCCCAACATTTTCGAGTGAAGTACTTAGACTACTACTGATAACATCATTGTTTTATTTATATACCTATAAATCTGAATGGTGTAGACGCAAAAAAAATATAAAAAAATAAATAGTTTTTCAAATGGGCTGTTATTTCAAATAGAAACAAAACAAAACTCTCTCATTACTACATTCCATATAATTCAAGCTTTAGAGAGAATAATTATCATGACATACGTGAAGAATACGTTACTAAGCATCAGTAGAATGTATTCGGGTTTGGGTTAGAGTTAAGGTCAGTGATAGGCCTGTAATCAGGGTTATAATTGTTATAGTGGAGGTTGGTTTTCTGCAGTTTATTATCTTCTGTTTTTATTTTCAGACAGGAATATGGCATTCATACGTCAAGCACCTTTTCTACGCTGTCTGCCGTTGGTTTTATTGTGTATTCTAACACCGACGCTCATCCAAACCATACACCAAGATGCCATGCTCACTTCTTCTATGAAATGTCATTACGATGCCGAGCAGAAGAAAGCTGATTGCTCTGATCGTGGGTTGGACTCCATCCCTCAGAATCTTCCAGACGATATTGAAGAACTAGACCTCAAGTTCAACAAAATCACTTTCATCTTGAATTCTTCTTTCATGAGATACCCTTTGATCCAGGTCTTGGATTTTTCCTCAAACGACATCAGAATGATAGAATCTGCATCTTTTTACCCTCTAAAGGAATTGAATCGCTTAGACCTACCCTTCAACCATAATCTTGTTTTCCCAGCTACAGACCTATTCAGGTGGTCTAGAAACCTGTCCATCCTGAAACTATACGGTTCGAATCTGAAACTGCTTCCAAACGACACTCTGAAATGGAGCCCGTCTGTGGAGTCGATATACCTTCGCTTCAACAAACTCACTTTCGTAAACATGAGCCTTTGTGGCAGAGCAAAGAAAATTAGCTTGGCTTATAATAAAATCGAGCATCTCACGGCAGAATCTTTCATCATCGGATGTCAAAGTGATTATATTGATCTGACCGGGAATCCTATTAAATCAGTAGACCCGAACGTTATTGCATCGTTGCGTGTCCGATCACTGGTCCTTGGAGAATACCCGTTAACACTTGAGGTACTGAAGGATACTTTTATCGGGATCTGTCGCTCTGAAATAGTGGAGCTCACTATAAATGGTGCCAATTTTACAGTCTTGCCACGAGATTTCTTTAGTCCCTTGCGTAATTGTTCTCCTCCAGTGCTTAAATTTACCGGCAAAAATCTACAATCTCTCTCTCAAAACGTGTTCTCAAACTTGACAAGACTCGTGGAACTTGATCTATCGCACAACGAAATCCAAGCCCTCTCTCCATACGTGTTCTCAAACTTGACAAGACTCGTGGAACTTGATCTATCGTTCAACGAAATTCAATCCCTCTCTCCATACGTGTTCTCAAACTTGACAAGACTCGTGGAACTTGATCTATCGCAAAACAAAATCATCACTGTTGAACCGGTATTCTATCAAGGCATGCGGGGGCTAAAAGTTCTGAACTTGAATTTCAATCAAATAAAATATATAAACCCAAATACTGACGAATGGACACTGGACTTGAATGAGTTGTACTTACGCAGCAATTCTTTGACAGAAATCTCAGAATTCGCATTTTTCGGTTTGCGAAATCTAACGCTGTTAGATCTGAGCTTCAACAAAGACCTTATTGTCCTGAATATCACGTCGTCTTCGAAACTGACGGGAATTCAAACCATCGCCTTGAACTTTTGCAACTTTTGCGATATGGACATATTTCAACCGGTAGCCCCGAACTTAACAACCCTTTTCATGAATAACATGATCGCCGAAATGATCATGATGGCACCTGGAATAACCTTCGAAGATTCACAAGGCCTTGAGAATTTGGAAATCCGTAATTCGGGGCTGTCGAATTTCAATATCTGGGATGAAATCCTGAATACCTCTCTTTTTGACGGTTTGTCAAATCTTATTACTTTGGATCTGAGCCAAAATTATTTTGACTTTTACTTTCCAGATGATTTTCCAGCTAGGATCTTCAAACAACTCTCTGCTCTTCAGAACCTTAGTTTAGAAGCCTGTCATATTTCATGCCTTCATCCATTAGCTTTTACGGGATTGGAATCGCTTCGGGTGCTAAATTTAAGTGGAAACGTAATTCAACAACTTAATTTTGATATATTCAAAATGTTAGATCAAGTGACTATTATCGATCTTCATGACAACCTTTTGGCATACCTCGATGAACAACTATTCTCAAACAATCCCAGACTGACTACTCTATTGCTATCAAACAATAAATTAACCCTTCTCAACCAAAAAACATTTGAACCGATAGAATCTTCGCTTCTATCTTTCGATTTGTCATTGAACCCTATCGACTGTAACTGCGATCTACGATGGTTCCGCGATTGGATGAGTGGACATATTGACGTCATTGACAAAAACAGAACAGTCTGTTCATCGGCTTCTTTACAGCCTCTTCGCGAGAAACCTTTGCTTGATTTTGATCCCAATAAACTTTGTGGACTCAATATTGTTCTTGTGTTTATGACTCCTCTCGCCGGAATTTTCTTGGTTGTCATCGTCGCAATTTTTTATCACAACCGATTGCAGTTGAAGTACAAACTCTTTCTCTTGAAACTAATGGTAATTGGATATAAAGAGATGCGAGACGCCCGGGACCACAACGACTATGAGTTTGACTTGAATATCATCTTCTACGAAGACGACGAAGAATGGGTTCGTCAACAACTCCAACCAGCTCTGGAAGAACGGCTTCCACAGTTCCAGAGGAATGTCTTTGGTGATCAAGACCTAATCCTTGGTATGCACTATCTTGACGCCGTCGACTACGTGGTGAGCCATAGTTACAAAACACTCATTCTACTCAGCAGAGCCGCCGTGCACGATCGCTGGTTTATGCTCAAACTCCGCACCGCCATGGACCATGTGAGCGACACCCAGACCGAATTTGTAGTCGTGGTCTTTCTCGAAGACTTCCCTGACGAGGATATACCATTCTTGGCAAGGTTATATTTAAGTGACGGCAGACCCTACCAACATTGGACCGAGGACGTGGGAGGACACGTTTTTTTCTGGAATGCCCTGGTAAAAAATCTTACCATTAATCTCAGGACCAATGACTTTATTCCCAACGAGTAATAACGGTCTGACTTATTTTGGGGCTAGTTTGTTCCATACATTACTGTCCACATCTTATATTTTTGTATATCTGATTTATGTATTAAGCCAATAGCCCTACTAGAGCTTGGATCAGACTAAATATAAAGTGGCAAACACATCTGATGTCAATTTATATTCAGAAATCCATAATATGTGGTTATGCATAAATCATGATACACTAAATGGCGTAATACCTTGGTTTTGCTCTTGTGCAGTATACCGGTTGATGGAAGAAATAGCAAAAAATCGCTCTTCATGTGACTCTAGACCAGGGATTCCCAAAGTCCGGACCGCGGGACATGTTAATCCGTACCGCCGGGGAGGCTCTTTTTTTGGTTTAACCTTAAAGGGCCTGGGGCAGATTCCACTCTTTTCATGGGTATCATGGGTATTGCGTAGTGCCAAAATGAACATTTCCCAATAAACTATGTACTGTACAAAATGCAGAATTGTTATTTCAAGGATATTTGAATGACCTTGTCTGAGAGCGCGAGCTCATATTTTGATTAAGTTTAGGAAATACAATTATTTAAATTGAATTGTATTGTGTACCATAATAACCCGGTCTTTTTAGGCTTAAACTGTAACAATTCCCCTCAGATCAGGTATAGGATAAAGACCTAAACACAAGTGCCATTACTGTAAATTTAATGAGTAGATTGTTTGCATTAATGCTTTCGTCTTGCAATCATTCCATTTGTGCCAATAGTAAGGCGGATTTTTGCCGGAAAACAGTGCTCCTTTTCCCCCTGATATACCCTACATGTATACCAACTGTTTTAACTCTAATCATTAAGGTATGTGTACGTATAATATCACAAACCGATATTTATGAAAATAATTTATGAAGTAAACTAAATTTGCCCATTGTTTCGGACCATTTAAGCTTTCATGAAAATCACATCTGGACCGCGAAGGAAAAGGTTTGAGAACCCCTGCTCTACCACTGAGCCATCGCGCCTCCTAAAAGTGGGCTTATACTCGTATGCAAAACAAATTTCCGTACAAAAACACACACCCACACGCACAGCGGTTTTTTTGCAACGTGACTATTCATCCAGGGTAGACATTCTACAGCGTTTCAATATGTTTTATTCTTTTCTTCTTCTCCTTTTATATTTGTTCTGTACTAATCTTTAGTTTATGTCTTTCATAAATAATACGTTATCAAAATCCGGGAGTAAAAATAACGCAGGATTCTATTTCTAGCTAAGTTAAGTAATAATGTTTGATTAGTAAGACTGATTCGAAAGCCAAAGTCTAAAATGCTAAAAACTTGACAGTCATGCTTTTTTGTTTATAACAATCTGTTTTGGTTTTGATCCAGCTCTCCGACATTCTCACTTAACTCATTGCAGTTCACAGAAACTTTTCTGCGGGTCTAAATGAATCTACTTTTCCTCCTCAAATATGAAACAATTTTTCGTATTTTCCACTCTTTCATTATTAAAAAATAAAAGCTGTGCGAATCAAAATTTCAACAATAAAAATCAACTCCAAATTGCCAACATAAAGACGAAAAGATTGATTATGAATTTCACCCTCCTGTTGCTATTTCGAAGATTTCAAAATCAAAATTAAAGGTCATCTAATCTATAAGATGTATTAGATTTAAAAAAAAGATCAATTAAGTGTGTGTTGTGTAAATATCTGAGTGTAGTATATAAATTTTCTTGATATTGTTTATATTTGAAATACTCATTATTAAGATTTCATCGAATATATATTGATAAAGTGTAGCAACAATCATCGGCATCTGCAAAGATGTACTTGATAAAAAAGATCAATTAAAGATAAACTTGAATTCTGGTAAAAAAAAGAAAATCAATTCTCACAGAATCTAACGAAACTTACACTGAATGTCCAAGATTCGAAATAAATGTCATGTGCCAAACAATTTTGGAAGAAAATGTATACTGGCTGAGTAATGAGCATAGAAATAGAAGGAAATCGAGTAGTACTAGCCCCGACACCATTTGTGTTGTCCCATATATATCTTTCTGTGTAGTGTGCTTGTTACTTTACCAAGACTGAGCCAAATTCGTTATGAATTTGATGACTCCAGAACCTTGCAGTACACACCAACATGCTACATGATCAACATTTTCTGATGCATTCCACACCTTTTCTTTCACAATGCAATCGCATTACCAGAACTCAAGTTTATCTTTAAGTTTGTGTTTTGTAAATATCTTAGTGTATTATCTAAATTGTCTTGATATTGGTTACATTTGAAATGTTGTTATTAAGATATCATCGAATAGATATTGATAAAGTGTATATGCAACGATCATCGGCATCTGCAAACTAATTTGGAATAAATGTTGAATGTTTATTACGGTTGATTTTGTTTCGTGTAGGCCTAATAATGTTATGTCAATATATTCTCTTTTGGACAACAGTAAATGTGACTCTCTAAACATTTTGAAAGTGAATATGATTGCTTTTAGATATAGTCACACTGTGATCCTCGCTCGGTGTCCACATTATCTTTAATTCCTTGTAATAAATATTATGTTCAATCATATATATATTATCATTCTGTTATTATTTTTGTGCATTGAATTAACAATGAAATATCTTTCCCAAAAAACAAACATTGTATCACAACGTGACGATTAAACGGTATGTAATCACTGTGTGTGAAAGTGCGATCCAAAAGTCTTTCAAGAAACCATACAAAATCATGTTCAGATTACGGCACACGTCATTGTAAAATGTGCACATTTCTAAGGGCGGTGGACAAGAGTCCAATTGTTGTGTAAAAGACAATTGCAATTGACTAAGGTTGATTTTTTTTGTAGACAGTCTTTGCGATTATGTTTGTGAGACAGTGCCGCCCCTGTTCTACTATATGATTGAAACCCGACGCCAAGCTTAAAGGGACTTGGTTAAATATTGTTCAGATGAGAGAAAATCTATTCCATGATGAATAGTAACTAGTTTTTCTGTCCAATGATATCATATTTATAATATTTCTGCCACGGGTGACTGAGCAGCAGGGTCTTTCAAAAAGGTTGTCAAAAGCGCCTTGTACCAAGTTTGGGCGGATGGAACGAATTCGGGTCAGGCCATATACGATTGCTTCTTTGGTTTTAAATCCATTTAAAAAGTTAAATTATGCCCCGTGCTTCAGTGACAAATTGTTTAAAATGATGCAATTCAATCCAAAGGATGACCTTTATTCATTTTGAACAGCCTACTAACTTCTTGTCTCATGATATCTAAGTTCTCTCTGTTCACTAGTCCGCTACGCCATTTCACAAGCGTAATGAGCATAAGGTGTTTGTCTCGAATAGCAAATGAAAACTCAAAGGTTACTAAACCCCAATGCAAGAAGAAACACATAATTATGATGATAAGTATCAAAGAAATTGATAGTAGACTTTCATCAAAAGGATAACACGCCAAATAAACTTCAGCCATTTTGTATCACCTCAATGAGAAGGGCTACCTTAAACAAGGGATACGAATAAAGTCAAGATTGTAATCATCATAACAAAGAAAGTATAACTTTTGCAAGAAATAAGCATTTCCTTGAGTTCGAGTTAATATTAACACCTTTTCTTTTCAACTACCTAATATTCAATGTAAATAGGTGAGAAATATTATTGTATTTGGAATGAGATAATAAACACTTTTCCTATAGTACTTAGGAAAAGTACTTAACGACCATCTACAAAAACTTCAAAATAGAGCTCTTCGTTGTGTATTAGATGTGGATTGGATGTATCCGTCTGAACTATTATTTACAAAATTAGATGTCAAAAGACTTGAGGAGAGGCGAAATATATACGCACTTTACGTATATTGTACAACATTGCATTTGAAATGCCACCAGAGAGTACATGATTGTAATCAATTTGTTTTGAGTAACAGTAATTAATATGTTTTTCATTCATAGTTTAAAATCAAGTACCACCGGTTAAAACTAACTTTAAAAAGAGAGGTCTGCAATACAGAGGAGCAAAACGATGGGATGAATAACCTAATGATGTAAAAGCGTTGAGCTTTTACAGTTTCAAATTGGACAGTTTACTATATATTGTTCAGATGAGAGATAGTGGTGGTAAGGCAGTGACTTCAATGCTAGATGTACAATTAAAGATAATATGAAAATTTGAGCGAAAACGGACCATTATTCATGGTACAAATTGGGAAAAACTGATCCGATCGATTCCTTAATTCTCCCAACTATATTATTACAATTTAAATACATTTTAGGTGAATGGAAATCTCACAAAGCAATAAAATGGCTCTACATTCCATTCCAGACATTTAAGTGTTGACAGATTTTGTACAGCCTGTTTGTATGTCTTTTTTTCATGGAAAAACGGTTGGGAAAATTCAAAACATGGTTGGGAGAATTTAGATTCAGAAGCGCCGCACATCGACGCCCGTTCGAAAACCCGTTGAACTTTGTTAAAAATCTTCATATTGCGTGAATTAAATTCGGATTTGGGGCATCGTAGTTGGATAATCCATACATACAGACATAATTTTACGTGCTTTGCATCCTGATCCAACAGATTTGTGAAATCAACCATCACAATGTTACTAAGTACCTGCAAGTGGTCCGTGTTGAAATAAAATAAATGAAAAAAACACATGATGGTTTTTGACTCAAAGTCATTGCTTCAGCCCAAACTTACAATAGGACTTTGACAATCCTTTTTGGAAAGCCTGCTGCTCATTACCATCACATATGATTCAACGTCACATAGGTTATAACTTTTTAATTAGAAGCTAGCAAAGTGGGTACACTTTTTTATACGCACTGTATAGAATAAAATCATTCTACATTGGCTCGGTTTATTCCCGGAAGTTTAATTGTTCTTCAGACTATACTAAGCAAATAATATGATTAAGAATTTAGTAAAGTATACAGTTTCGCTTTAAGGCGGTAATATGATATTTTGATTGCAGGAAATGTGCTGTCTGAATTAAAATATTCTCGTTTTTCTCCGAAATCGGAGTATTCGTCCAGTATAGTTTTCACAGGGCATAAAAGTTAATGTGATTTCGTGCAACTCTTCCTGCATTAGTGTAGATTGATTCTTCTCCAAACCAAGTCAACCGTTATTGCCAGATGCTCTGAGTCAGCAGAGGACCTTTTTTGGAATATTTCATTGATCTTTTTAAAGTTGAGGTAAATATAAAAGTAAAGTGAACTCTGACAATTACAGAAATTCTTACGAATGTTCTTGCTTTGCTGTATGTGAATGAAAAAACGACGTGGAATTACAAAAGGGTTATGGACCGCACACTGCTTGTATAGATTTACACAGTATTTCTACATCAAGCCAATACCCTTTTTTTT